GCCATCTATCAAAGGTACAATATTTTTTTTGTCATACATAACTATAAAATGTAACCAATTGAAAATTTATTTCGATAACCCCACCATTAATATAAACTTTCACAGTTAGTCATGCCCAACTTGGCACTCTCGCTGCATCATCAGTATCCATGACAAATGCACCCGCCATACCACCAGCTAATACACTATACCAAGCACCTCGCCTTCAGCCCTTATGGCCCCAAAACCGCAATCACAATTACCACCTCATACAACGACCAAAAAACTAGTGTTAAAAAATTACAAACAAAAATTAGAACCTACCTAGTATTGCAAATCAAAATCCAAAGATTCCAAACTAAACCAGAGATCAGAACTTAACAAAAACGACAAATGAAAATTAGAGTAAAATCGAAATCAAACGAAGTGAACCAAAAAGAGATCAAACCAACAGTTACAATTGAGCTAACATGGAATGGAACCAAAATTACATTTGAGTTAGAAATTTGAATTGGAATCGACATCACCATTGAAGGTGGTTTCATACGGTTCACCATTGAATCATAGCTTGCGTTCATACTCTATTCACCAGAGTTTTGTGTGATGTCTAAAAGGAAAATCTAGCCAAGAAAATGGAGTTGTGGTGGTTAATTGGTGGAAGGATGAGTTTGGTGTGGTTGTTAATTGGTAGGCAGAACTGATGGGAGGTTGTGGATCATGACAGGGAGGTGGTAGTTATGACTATTAGCTGGATGAAATGCTATAAAGAGGGAGAGAGGGGGGAGGTTAGGGTGGGTGGGGCAAAGAGATGGTGAGAAATAAGAAAACAAAGGGAAAGTGATAGAGAAGATAGAGGAAGGGACGTAAATTTGAGGGTATTTTTCAACTTATAACTTGCTTTATTTTGAAAAAATTGCATTGTAGGCGCATGATTTATTCAAATCATTAAATTGGATGAAAATTTTGACGATTGCACTTTAGTTCAACAACCATAAGATGGCATGAAATCATTTCTGCCTCTCATCCCCTTTGCCCAAAATCCAGCTTTGATGGGCTTCCCCAAGATGTCATCGATCATGCGTCCCTCACCTTCCCTGTTATATGCTACTTTCAAATTTCAGAGAGGTTATTTGCAACTTGGGTAAACCATAAAGGGGTAAATGAAGTCTGCCTTTTTATTTGGTAAATTTGGATGGAGCATCTAATAGTCAATGTAGAAGCCTTAGTTATGAACCAATCATGAGCGATGATCGTATTTGACGACTACAAAACTTGTATACTATCTCTACTGGTTCGGCATAGATCAATTTCAGTCACAACCTCCATTGGCTCATTCTCCTTCACAATCACAAAGATCGTCAAAATGTAAAACCATACAAATGTTAGCCCAAAGCTACAAGATCTAAACCACAAGAAGTCCCAAAAAAGCTTACTCTCATTCCAGAAACCCACCCAAACAGAGAAGAGGTATAGATAGAGATAAAGAAAGAGAATTGTGGGATGAGATAGAGATAAACAGATACTAATGAGTAAAGAGAGAGAGAAAAAAAATCACCATATTCATGGAAACACAAAGACAAAGATGGTTGCAAAAAATACGAATATTTGTTTTGGTACATTGGANAGAGAAAAAAAATCACCATATTCATGGAAACACAAAGACAAAGATGGTTGCAAAAATACGAATATTTTTTTTGGTACATTGAAAAAGTAACAAAACAACTAGATAAAATTCCTAGAGAAGGAGACATTGGCCAAATCAGCCATGAAACAACTCCCAAGTTTGGGGGTGGAGCATCAAGCTCAACAAAAAGGCCTTTGTTGAAGGACTTTAAGATTAGCCAGTAAGTCCGCACACTAGTTGCCTTCTCTGAGGGTATGTATGATGGAAATGTTAAGTAAATTGATCAGTCTTTGCAACAAGAAATAATAGCTTTATTGGGGTGCATCTCCTATACATTTAGCGTAAAGAGTTTTGTTGCTTCAAGAGAATCAGTTTCCACAATAACATGAGAGATTCATTTTCTCTGGAGGAGCTTTATTGGATGCCTGTTGTATCATGCATTCCCCCATAAAATCCCATAATCCAGCCTCCTTGTGTATTCCTAATAATACCTCCAATGCCAGAACGACCAAGGTTCCCCTTTTTGAGCAACCGCTTAATTTATTTCAACTTGCTATTGGAAACACCTAACCAATTAATCTTGAAATTTTGATGGTAGATTCAATTTTTAACTCTTGAAATGAATTAGAAGATTCACGTGTTAGTAACCAAGTTTCCTGGCTACCAGCATTGTAATTGACGTAATATTCAAGATACTTTCTCTATTGTGATCTTTATATGTATGCTTGTGAGACAAAAAAGAACATTACTTGTTTTTTAGGGTGAGACTTGAGAAGGAAAAAGAAATAGCTCAGCTTGGATGTTTGTTGTATCATTCATTCTTCCATAAAATCCCGTAATTCAGCCTCCTTGTATGTTCCTGATAATATTTCCAACGCTAGCAAGACTAGGGTTCCTCTTTGAGCAACCATCAGTGTTTAATTTATTTCAACATGCAGGAGGAAACACTGAACCAGTTAATCTTGAAATTTTGCTGGTAGATTCAATTTGTAACTTTTTAAATGCATTAGAAGATTCACATGCTAGTAACCAGGTTTCCCTGGCTACCAGCTTTGGATTTGAAGTAATATTTGAGATACTTTCTTTGTTGCGATCTTTATACGTATGTTTGCAAGACAGAAAAAAACATTACTTGTTTTTAAGGGTGAGACTTGAGAAGGAAAAAAGAAATAAATTAAAGACTAAGACTCGAGAAGCAAAATAATAAGAGAAAATAGAGGGAGAAAACAAATTTAATAATTTGACCCTATTCGTGACCTCAAAATCCAAACTCGGATATTTCTAAAAATTTTATTTCTTTTAACTTAATTGAGTATTGAAAACTATTGTCGACTATTGTCAAGCAAAATAATTGATTTTTTTGTAAATTAATAGTTTAATACGAGCTTTGTTAAAATCTGTCACCACAATTTCATAACTCCAGTAGAATTAAGGGTAAAATACAAAAAATCTCCCTATACTTAGGGTGGCATCTTTGTAGTTTTAATTATTGTATTAAACACCCTTTAACTTCAAAATAAAGTACCAAAGCGGATGTGTGTTATAAAATTTATAAAAATATCAAAATACTCTCATTTAGTCACTTAATTTTTATTTGAATATCCTTTTTCTACCTCAAACCCTTCTTGCTATATATATATTTTCCCCTCTCGTCTACCCATAACCAACATCACTATCACACATTAACACCTTGTCATCCCTCTCTAAGCCCCCCAAAATCATCCATCTTCACAACCCCACAAAAATTTGAATCATCCTCATATACTCACACCCTAAATTAACTTCACACAAACTTAACCCATTCTTCAAAAACTCACCAACACCACCATTAATCTCCCTCCACAAGTCCATCGAATTATAAAAAGATCAACAAAAAATATAATTCGATCACATAGAGAAAATGGGTCACCAATACGCAAAGAATTTTTGAAAATCTTGAAATTGTATGGGAACTTCACTATTGTGACTAGATAAAACACCATTAGGGTGGATTTGAATAGTAAGGGAGTTCCGACAAGAATGGTTGCGGGTTGGGGGAGTTTCGACGGGGTGGAAGTCTTATAAGGGTATTAGTGAGGATGAAAAAGGGTTTACAAAGGCAAAGAGAGATGACGCGGTGGTAGGTTGGCATGAGCGNGACAAGAATGGTTGCGGGTTGGGGGAGTTTCGACGGGGTGGAAGTCTTATAAGGGTTTTAGTGAGGATGAAAAAGGGTTTACAAAGGCAAAGAGAGATGACGCGGTGGTAGGTTGGCATGAGCGAGGTATTGTTGGAGTGGGTTGTGGTAGCGGTAGTGCAAGTGGTGGATTTCAGTGGGAAAGGGAGAGGGTTTATAGAGGTTGTGAGAGGGAAAGGGAGAGGGAGAGGGAGAGGGAGAGGGAGAGATAGATGGTTAGGTTAGGGAGCCTAGGGCACGAGGGAGAGAAAGTGAGACATGTATTCGAGGGAAATAATAAGAAAGATGGGGAAGATCAGGGTATTTAAGAAATTATAAATTATAATTTTGACATATTTTATTTTCATGTACAATTTTGAGCGTGTAACTCACACTCTTCATTAAATTAGTAATATTTGTCCACTTTTGAACTTTTATTTTGAAGTTAAGGACAATTTAGTATAACAATTAAAATTACGATGTAGAAATGACTCTAAATACGAGAAGGTGACCTTGAAATGACTCTAAATACAGAGTTTTTTTTTTTTTTTTTTCATTTTACCCTAGAATTAAATCAAATCAGTTTTTTTTTTCTTCTAAACCTAGCCGGAGTATTGAAAGCTTTTGCCAAGTGAAATGCACTGAATTTTTCGTAAATGCTAATTTACAAAAGCTGCTCTGCGCCTACGGAGGAAAACAAAACTGAAGAATACCATTTGGAGGAAACGACGGTGGCTCCGGGAAGTCTCTCTCTCTCTCTCTCTCTCCCTCTCTATCTCATAGAAGTCAGAATACAAATTCAATTCCGTACATCGTCAATCTCCATTTATCCTCCTTCTCCTCATCGTCTTCTCCTATATCGTTTGTAATAAGTTTGATTTGGATCGATTGCCCTTTCTGATATTGACCTGCCTCTTTTCTTCTCTTCGAGTTCTTCTTCCTTTATGGTTCATCCTCATCAACTCCTTTATTATTTGCTGCTAGTTCTGTTGAGGAAAAGTGAATCCGAACGTATTATGAAGAGAAGATTTTGATTCTGATGGATCTGATATTAAAAATTGCTTTATTGTGACTGTTGCGGGATTTGGTGAATGAGGATGGGATTACAATCTTCTGGTATATTTATTGAATTTGCCGGAAGATTAGTGTATCCCACAGGGTGGCAATCGAATCGCTGAACCGGTGGCTTGAAGCTTTGTTATATATTTATATAGATAAAGCTGGGTAGTTGAGGGAGAGGTAATGGATGAGGCCAGCACAAGTAGGGAAGGTGAGCCTCAGCCCTCAGACTTGGCAGCGGATGGGAGCTTATCACCATCACCATCATCATCATCGCAATCGGTACCATGGCGTCCTAACGAGCTCATCTTCTGTCCTTATTCCTCTATTCTCGATTCTGATGCAAGGCCCCGAACTTTGCACGATGTCGTTAGAAGGCCTGTAAGTGTTTTTTGCCCACTATGTTGTTCTTTGTCAATTTTGGATTATGATATTCATATTGTTGTCATGGCCTTTTGAACTAGATCATTTTCTTCAAGATGGGCGGGGATTTGGCTTGTTTTCTGTGTGTTGGTGTTCTCTGTGACTCTAAAATTTGGATGATGCGATTTGGCATTATCGTTTAGGCTCTGTTACCAGAAAATATCCGAAAGAAGGGAAAGTCCTAGCTGAAAGTAGACAAATCATCTTACTTAGTTGTTACTGCCCATGGCATCTCTTTGTTGAATTTGATCAGAGAATTGATAATCTCTTTCTTCAGTCATCTCCAATGAGTAGTTTTCATTGGAATTCTACATTGTCCTCAAAGGTTTATAGATGGAGTATACAAAGAAATCTTAGACAGCTGGAAAAAGATGCAAAGCCTGGACAGCGGCTCAATTAGAAATAAAACGTGCGTAGTGGCTTGTCTGGCTGGTAGCCTTCGTTTTCGAGTCTTCATTTTTTCCACTAAAGGAGACATGATGACAATCTACATGTTAATAATCCTTTCATGGATTGTGCCGTTCTGGTGCAATCCACTCACTAGAGTTTAGGAACTCAATTATGAGGATTTTATCTGATGCTGATGTCAAGAGTCAAATAGCCATATTTTCTGGATTTCATCTGATGATGCTTCCAATGAGTCAAATGCCAATCTAAAAGGATAGTCACTACTTTGGAGTTGGGATCGGAAAGCACTAATAATCCTGTCCAACACTATCGGGAGTCATGGCCACCACAAACATGTGTTGAAAGAAAAAGGCAATTACAAGTCATAGCGTTAGTGAGCACCTTGAAGTTGAAATTTCATACTTGAATTATTCGAAATTCCATACTTAAATAAATTGCCTCCTCCACACCCCCCTCTTGGCCCAGCCAAAGAAAAAGGCAATAGAAAAGCACTGTAGGAGGATAAATCCTTCGATCTTGATAGGTATCTCATGAAACAATCTTAAGCTTTTAATATAAGCTGCTAACTTGGCTAGTGACCAGCTGTCATGCAGGTTTTTCAGAAATCTTTGGGCCCCCTTTTGATAGATAATAGGCAATTATTAAAAGATGGTCGGGGGAATGCAAAAAACATTGAGGATCTGACACCAAACCTGAAACACTGATAAGGGCATTACCAGTTTATTGCCTCTGGCAACATTTTACTATTTTAGTGTATCGAGGTGAATTTCAGTTTAGCATGCACAGGACATTCCCGCATTAGGCATCTTGCCTAAACTGCAATGCAGCATCCTTAGCTGCAAAATTAAGATATTTGGAGTAGAGCTCATATTCTCTCTAAGATAGTCTATATATTCTTCTCACTTCTAAACTTTCCTGCCACCACTCTCCGACATGAGCTCTTCTCTAAAGCATATCCTCAAATCCATTCCCATTGGAAATTCCTGATTCCTAGGTGTCAATTCTTGAGTGAATAGCATGGAGTTTCAAGATTTTTTAACACGAAGGGCATTTTATTCTTTTTAATTTTTCCAACTAATTGTCTGGGCCACGATTGTTTGGTTGTGAGTATTACTGAGTCCGTTTCTTGTTTGGGATAGTGAAGTCTTAGTTTAGTAAGCACTTTGTCTTGTAGGAATTTTCGATCTGGAAAGCTTCTCCGTGTAAGATGATCTGTGTAAGGCAATTCTATTCAGCATGTTAATTGATTATAATTTCCAAAATCTTTAATGATGAGATTCCATTAAAGAGTTGCTTCTAGGTGAGATTCCTGGTATGCCTTAATGACACCTTTAATGTTTTCAATCTCTTTATTCTTCTTCTTTTTTCCATAATAATTTTACTTTCGGCTGTGACAAACTCAGACATCACTAGCCTTAAATTACACCAATATTATTCTTAAACTCCTACTACCCTACCATTGGTCCAAAACCTTACCCCTAAACTTTGATCCCAAAGCCTTGACCATAAAATATCACACCATTTAAGCCCCCCAAGTCTTGATTTTCCAAGAAGTTTCTGCAACTTGGTTCTTTTAGTTTTGTTATCAAAATCAGCCTTAAATTTCAACTAGAACTACCCCAAATCTACCATTAAACCCCAGCATTAAATTTAAATGATATACCTTACCATCAGATTGGATTGCAGAACAGCATTGAATTGCTGATCTAAAGCTATGTTCAGCATCAATAAGGTAAAAATAAAGACTTCAAATTTATTTGTTGTGTGTTTGGAAGTTTGTTTGCATGATATGATGATAACATGTATGACCTAGATGAATTTCACAAATGACAAGGATCATGACCTTATGCTTGCATGTGAGGCGTGAGTGTGAACAATTGAATATGCCCAAGCTTTTTAACCATGGTTTTAAAACCTGGCCCAAATGTCAACTCGGCAAAGGGATCGGGTCAATGGGTCACTGGATCAACCGTTGGGTCACTGGTCGGACCGGTAATATAATAAAAAATTAAAAAATAATTATAAATAATAATAAATAGGCTAAAACACACAAATGAAAAGTACAATACCACACTTCATAAGTTACCAGTACAAAATCCTTGATAAAAAAAAAAAACCCAGTACAAAATCCCAAATATAAAATAACAATGTTCATAAAAGTAAAATCCAAACCTAACAGTTGCAACAAAAACCCAAACCTAGTCCACCCTTAACATGCAATTCGCACTATTATTTCATGGCTTTGTCAAGGAATATGCTTCACGGAGACATGTAAAAAGCACTATGATTATGGAAGACAATAAACAGGAGCTGGTTAGCAAAATCCTACTTATTTTGGGTGTCTATGCAAATGTTGAGGCAATAATTTTGACGGGCAAGTTCAATTAAAATAGTGAAACATCCAAATCGCAAACTCATGAATAACTCAATTTGTGAATTCCAAAAATCCTGCTTACCAGGGAGAGAGAGAGAGAGAGAAAACTCACCTCGTCATTGGACTGGAGGCTGGAGTCGCTGTTGGCAGCTCAGTCGTGGAGCTGTGTTCACTGCACAGTCGATGGTGTCCGGTGGTCTGGAATCTGGATGGCTCGATTTAGGGCAATGAGAATGACGTCTGGAAGTTGATTTAGGGGAAAGAGCAAAATGCCCAAAAAATGTAAAAAAACTCAGATTTATACAAATCAATTTAAACCGTCCAGATTGGTTAACTTGTCCGGTTCACACGGGTTCACTGGTTTTTTGGCCGGTTCAGCGGTTTGATCCCGAGTTTAATGTACACACGGTTTTTTATGAGAACCGGCCCGGTTTGAGCACCGGTTCACCGGGTTGACCTGCCGGGCCGGGCCGGGTTTTTAAACTGTTTTTAACCATAGCGTATACTTGTCCAAGTGCTAATTTATGATATGTACTGAGCCTTCTTATGCTATTGTCAGCTTCCCTACTTTTTGAAATTCTCGCTCAGCTAACCATCCTTTTTTGATGTCATGATCACCAACAGTGGAGAGATTGCATATGGATGAGATCTGGGTATGCTGTTAAATTGCTCAATGACAGTTGTCTGAATCTAGTCAATCCTAATGTGATACATACACAGTTTATGTGTGATATCCATTCGAATAATCATCTGGTCTTTCTCTAATTGTGTTAAATGATCGAGTCAATTTGATTTTTTAATTTTAGTTGCCATATACTGAACCAGATAGATTATGTGTCTTGGAGTTTTGCATAGGAGCATCTGAAGGTGGGAAAAACCTCAATTATAAGGTTCTTATAGAGACTAAATAAATTAGGTTCTTTATAAGAAATCTTCTGAGGACAACCGAACATGTTAGCTATCTGTTCTGTGGAATATAGCTCTTATCTGATTGTCAGATGAAGAGTTCTTTGTTGGATCAATGGTATTTGATGGGATTCAGATTATGATCCTCTTGATCAGAAGGTATACTATACCCTAAGGTGCCCATAAGATAGTATCTGCCTTCGTCCCCTGCTTTTGGATCTTCTAGGCAGAAATTAAATAGGAATAGCTTCCTTGATATTGGAACACAGCTTCTTATTTTGGCATTTTATCTTTTTGGGCCTATTATAAGAAGTTGTAATACTCTTAAATTGTTATAGTGGTACTTACCCAAAAAAACTATAGTAGTGGAACCCTGTTTGACATATGGCTTTCAACTTTGCAGTTGGTGACAAGATTAACCAAAGACATCTCTGAAACGTACAAAATATGCAACCCGGGATTCCACTATTCAGAAGAATTGAACCCAAAGAGGTTCTTGACAAGCCCATCCATTGGAGTGCTCAATGATGGCTATGATAATGCAAACTCGGACCTCATCCTTGCTGTGAATTATGTGTTGGTTAATTTAGACACACAGCGAAGGTTTGGCTTTGAAATGTTTCATCCTTTTGCTATATTATATTGCATTACAAAGAATATTTTAGAGAAATAGGGATGTGATGTCAACCTAGTACATTTTATTTACATCTTTTTGTCTTTGAGTTATATCAACCGAGATTTTCTTTGTTCGTTCGTTTGTTTATTTATTTTTGATTAGTTCGATTACATGCATCCATGTTCCAACCAGGGATTGGATATTGCCTTTCCTCTTTGGCGGTGGCAATAAGTACCACCCAAGCTATGGGTGCTTCATTTCTTTTGTGTTCATTGTTTTAAATATTTCCAAGGTGGAGAAGCAACATGTCCAGCTAATTACATATTTTATCTTTTGAATCAAGTCTATAACAAGCATTGGAACAGTTGTCATGACTTGACCTTGATATAATTTCCTGCAAGGATGCATCAGTTAAGTGAAACAGTATCTGGCTAAATGCAAGGAAGGCAGTCATTTGTTATCCCGATCTTTCCAGATACAGTTCTTGTACTTCCTTTTTTTTTTAAGTGGGAAAATATGAGTTCTGTTAGTTCTCTTGAATATTGAGTGTGTTTTCTTTGTATTCTACTCTTATTGGATCTAAAAGGTATTATACTTTATTAAAAGCGGACGAAAAGCTGTGTCCAGGTTTAAGGTTGCTTAATAGTCTTCCCTCTGTCAGTGCTAAAGCTACTGCCTTCCTTGAGAGAGAGTCTAGACCTAGAAAGACCATCTGGAGGTATCAATATGGAATTGACTGGCAGATGCACTGGGATGACTTTCCTTGCACCCTAAGTCTAATTGATAAACCTCTCCTGTTCACAAAAGTAGAGCTAGCACTAACTTAAGCTCCATTACATTGCTGCCGCATGTAAATTCTTCTGACTGATGTAAACCTTCTGTTAAAAATTTCTTTGGGTACCATTGTGGTTCTTGGACGTTACCAAACAAAATTTAGACATGCCGGAGGTTATGTAAAAAGATTTGTTCTAACATATAGATAGTTTCTCAGCTTATATAACTTGGATATTTGGGTGTATCTTAGATTCTCAAGCTGCATTAATGAGCTACATTCTTATGATGATTAAATATATACATTCTTATGATGATTAAATTGATACATGCATATTCAGTGTTCAATATTTTGGTAATTGATAGTAATACATACAATTCAATTCAACTCATCTTAGTCTTTTTTAGTCAGAGCATGCAACCAAAAATCAATTGGCAATGAGGGGACTGTACCCCGAAGTATATTAACCAACTTTGGATGGACTTTAAGTTTTCAATGTGGGATAGGTTTCTTCATGCTCTCTATTACATGCAAGAGAATTCAACTGAGGGACAAACTTGATCCAAGACTCAACTCTGATACCATGGAAGATGAGGAAATTAGAGGTAGAATCAAAGAGATAGAGAGAGAATGTGAGAAATGGTGTGAGAGTCTTTTACGAGGGCTCCCTCCCACACCTCCCACATATATATCTATGCAATGTATTTGAAAGGACTACTATATCCATTTAAGGTATACTTATTATAGTGATATCGAAAACCATAATCTATTCTAACGTTAACTATTTGGGGTTGGCTACATCTATTCCATTTTGCCATTATGCTCTATTAAGAACCATATTTTCTGTTATACCTCAAGTTATCCTAGTATTTTTTGCCTTCTCATTCCAAATAATTTTTTGTCTATACATTTACGCCTCACAATATTGGTAGGTATCACATAATGTGCAGTGATAAATTTTCAATGAATATGTCTGCATCCCCTGTCTCGATAAATCTTCAGTTGGTGCTATTTTTACCATTTCACAAATGTACTCATTTCTAATTGTACCTTTTTCTATTTTATCGCTGATGTATAACAAAAATTAGTATTTATTTATATTTGATTATGGTTTAATGTTGTAATAAGATCTCGAGTTAATGTGCCTTACTTAGCCCAATATTTAGTAGCTATTGAGTAGAAGTTCTAGTGACGGATTAAATAAGGTAGTTGGGAGATGGTTGAGGTATTTGAAAAGTGCATTAAATTAAGTAGTTGAGAGATGGTAGAAATATTAATGTAAGTAATCAGAAGATGCATTTAATTAGGTAGTTAGAAAACGGCAAAAACTTTCCTTGAACCCTATAAAAAGGATCCTTATGTAACCATTTGAGGTATACAAGTTTGAGAATCAATATATTTTGAGAGTTCTTCCCTTGTTTTTTATGTGGATTCTGAGTGTTTTTGTTCTTTGCATTAGGAAACAGTGATTTCATTGTGTCCTTTCATTACCGTTGCTTCAATTGATATCAGAGCCAGTGCCTTGATTAATTTGACATGATTTCTAATCAATGAAGTGATGACAATTTTTTCCGTGATGATGATCATCTGGAAAGGGCTCTTCTGAGAGTCGAATTATTTAGTTCTTGGTATGGGATCTAGCAAACCTATCGTGAGTTCCACAACCCAATTGCACGATCATCGTTTGGAACAAACCAAGATTTAGATTGGAATAAAGTTCACAACAATGATGAGGCTAGTGTTCAACCTATTCGAGATCTCAATCTTGCACCCCTTAGATGACATTATATTTATAATGGTGATTTTATTGATGATGATGAGTAATGCGAGAGTAATGTTTGATAGTTATGATTGTGCTAGATATTATAAAAGATATGATTATGAGTGTAGAATTTTTTGTATGAAAGTTGACATACCTTATTTTGATGGTTACCTTCATATACAAGATTTTATTGATTGGTTGGTTGAGAAGTCTTTTGATTACATGAGGGTTTCAAACGAGGGAATGAAGGTAGAGTTAGCGGCTTATAAATTGAGGGTTAGAGCTTTTTCATGGTGAGAACAAGTGTAACCTTTACGTGCAAGGCAACAAAAAGTTCCAATTTGTTCTTGGTCGAGGATGAAACACTTTTTTCCTTCTAGATCATGAACATATTTTGTTTTAGCAACAATAAGACTAAAAATAGAGTAACAAGATGGTCCAGGCAAGTATTCCTTTATTCAATAATTATGGAAACCCAAACAAAAAAAAATTTATAAATTATCAAGAAGAGAAGATTGAAGATAATGATGATACCGAGTGGACTTATGGTGATATTGTGGAGCTTGTTGATGGTAACCTTATGGAAAAAAAGTGAAGACACAAGCAATGACAGTTTCATAGTTAATGATGCAACACCTAAAATTATTGAAGTTGAACCTGTTACATGTGAACTTGGTAAGATTGAGGAAAAAGGCCAAGGTTGTGATGAGATATCACGTAAAATTATGGAAGAAATGTTTATAGATAGAAAAGGGAATGAACAAGGAGTTGGTGTTATTTCTGGTTAAGGGAGTCAATGGGTGAGCATTATGAGGTTATCAAAGTATATCTGAATACTGAGAAGGCAACAAAGATTTATCATGCAACAACCAACATTGATTTGACAACTGGGAAACAATTCAAAATTAGTGCTACTACCCAATCTTACATAATATATTTTGTGGACTCTTTAAGAATGGAAGCAAAAGAAGATAAAGAATTTTGCAAATGGTGGAAATAAGAAGTTTAGTGATAAGTTGGAAATGGCGAATGATGTGATTATTGAGAATGAAGGATGATTGAAAATGAAATTGTGGAGTGTTTTACTTAATGATACTCTTGTTAGGGGGGGTTGGTATTAAACCCATACTTGGGGGCTTGGAGGGGAGTCCTATTGAGGAGAGTAAATCTAGATGGTTGGAAAGGTCTTTTGAGGTAGAAGAGGGGAATAAGGCTATTTTGGAGTATAGTAAAAATAAGGCTTCAGGTCCGTATGGTTTTATTTTAGCTATTTATCAAAGATTGTTGGAATGTTGTCAAAAGAGAATTTAATGAGAGTTTTCAATTAATTCTTTCAAAATGGAGTGGGGAACGCAATAACTAACTCAACTTTTATTTGTTTACTCCCAATGAAGAATAAGTCTTTGCAATTGAGGGATTTTCGACCAATAAGTTTGGTGTCTAGCCAGTATGAGAGTGTTGCAAATTTTTTATTTATGAGATTAAGGGAGGTTCTTATTAAGACTATTTCAGAATGTCAAGGGGATTTTGTGCCAAATTCGTGATGTTGTTTTGGTGGCTAATGAGGTTGTGGAAGATTATAGAGGTAGAGGAAATGAGGATTTTGTTTTTAAAATCAATTTTTTGAAGACTTATGATCACGTAGATTTAAGAATTTTTTTTTTGTGTCCGTAAGGTGAAAGGATTCGGTGGAAAATGGGGAAAGTGGATTTTGAGATGTTTGCATTCTAAGAACTTGTCAATTATGATTAATGGGAAGCCTAGGGGTAAGTTTAAAGTAACTAAGGATTTGAGAGTGGGTGACCTATTATCACAATTTCTTTTTAGTTTAGTTGCTGATGGATTGATTAGACTAATGAAGAGAGTGGAGAGATGTCATCTTGTTGAAGGATTTGAAGTGGGAAGGGATAGGATAACATTATCACATTTGCAGTTTGCTTATGATACAATATTTTTTTGTGGGGGTGGTGAGAAAAAAATTTTAAAGTAGAGTTGCTGGTGTTTTGGGGTGTAAAATAGGGGTTTGGCCTTTTAAGTACTTAGGTTTACCCTTGGGTGGGAATCCATTAGCATTATCTTTATGGTATTTTATGGTGGAGAGGGTGAGAAAAAGATTAGATGGGTAAAAGAGAGCTTTTATATCTAGGGGAAGGGGTTAAGCTTAGTGCAGTCAGAATTCCCACCTATTGAAAAATGATGAGGGACACTTTTTGTGGGGAAAACAATGATAAAGGAGTGGGAGGTGGTTTCTAGACCTAGGGAGAAATGTGGCCTTTTAATTGGTAATTTGAAAGCAAAAAATATTGCTATAGTGTGTAAGTGGCTTTGACAATTTTCTTTGGAACAAAGTGCTCTCTGGCATTTAGTTATTAAGAGCAAATATAGATTACAAACCAATGGATGAGACACTAATGGGGTTGAAATGAGAAGTTTTCGAAGTTCATAGAAATTCATATCTTAGGGAGAGACGAGGTTTTCCGAGGAGTTTAGGTTGGTAATGGGTAATGGGGGTGAGAGTTCGTTTTTGGGAAGATCTTTGGGTAGAGGAGTCATCCCTATCCAGTTTGGTTCCACGGCTATATCATTTAGCTTCGTACCACAGTTCGACTATTGCTTTTATGATTGGTTCTTATAATGAATCGTATTCTTGGGATTTTGATTTTCGTAGAAATCTTGATGATAGGGATGTGAGTGATGTTTTATCTTTCTTGAATATTCTAAATGATCTTTTGTTGTGTAAAGAGTAATGTGATAGAAGAAGATGAGTTCTTGAATCTTCTGGTGTTTTTTCTTGTAAATTCTTTTATGATTCTCTTATAGATGATCTGTGTCCTTTTTTTATACATGCTATGATGATTTGGAAGGCTAAACTGTGGAGAAAAGTACAAGTATTTGGATGGACTATTGCACATGGTAAGATTAATATTGTGGATATGCATCAAAAAATGAGGCCTCACTCTTCTCTTTGTCCGCAATGGTGTATTTTGTGTAAAGGGGATTATGAAAGATTGATTATTTATTTTTGCATTACCCTATGGCGTTGTCGTTGTGGTATAAGTTATTTAGCTTGGTGAGATTGAATTGAGTGGTTCCCATTTCAGCTACATTTTTGTTTGTTGAAGTTTTCATTGGTCTTGGGAGGTGTGATAAAGGAAAGACACTTTAGAATTGTGCCATTATTGTTATTTTGTGGGTTATTTGGAAGGTAAGAAATGCAAGAATCTTTGAAGATCAAGTTGAGTGAGGAAGGTTTATGAGATCATATTTATTTTTTGGCATCATTCTGGGCATTGGTTACTAAAAAATTCAAAGGAATCCCACTCTTTGCAATTTTGACGGGATGGCAAGCTTCATGGGATACATAAGTTGTGTTATGTTTTTATTTATTTTGATTATGATTTTCTTTAATTGGTTGGCTTTCTTATCCAACCATTTTTTATGTAAATTAATTTTATTACTAAAACTTTTCGTTTCCTATAAACAAAAAAGAATTTCTGGTAATCCGTGCAAGGCTGGAAAATATCAATCAGAAGTATAAAACAATTGCTGACAAATGCTGTAGATGCTTCCCTTGAGGCCTATAAAAAGGGTCCTTGTGTAACCATTTGAGATATTCAAGTTTGAGAATCAATATATTTTGAGAGTAGTTATCTTGTTTTCTCTGTGGATTTAGAGTGTTCGTGTTCTTTGCACAAGGAAACTGTGATTTCCTTGTGTCTCTTCGTTTACCGCTGCGTCGATCACTCATGCATATTAACATCTTCATTTCCGCCACTCTCATGTTTGAGCATGTTGTGTCTTAATCATGCAAACAATTCGAACAATAAATCATTGTTGGCCTAGTAGCTATTTTTAGAACTTTTCTTTCAAATGATCGTGTACATCAATCATATAATATGCCAGATGGATTTCTTTGCTTACTTAGTACATCCTACTTCAGTTCCATAATTTACTTTTGTCATCCAATATTTATGTCATCAATAAATAAGAAAACCCATGGATCCTCAGGGTAGACTTTAAGCAGTCTTACGTGTCTTCTTGATGGTGAAATGTGACATAGCAGTTCAATTAGCTGTTCTACAGTATTAGGACTTTGTGATGCAGCCTTCCTAATTTCTTTGAAAAATTGTTGCTACTCTTGATCATTTGTAGATACAGTGTCAAAGATATTCTTGGGCATGGGACATTTGGGCAGGTTGCTAAATGCTGGGTCGCAGAAACAAACAGTTTTGTTGCTGTGAAGATCATTAAAAATCAACCTGCGTACTATCAACAGGCGCTGGTTGAAGTTTCTATTCTGACGACGGTAAAAACTTTATCTTCTGGGTTTTCTCATTTACAATGATGCCAAGAAGGACTTTCATTTGTTCCTCTTCCATTGCTTGCTTTTTTTTTCCCAGTTAAATAAGAAGTTCGATCCTGAGGATAAGCATCATATTGTTCGCATTTATGACTACTTTGTCTATCAACGTCATTTGTGCATTGCTTTTGAACTGCTTGACACTAATCTGTAAGTTGTGAAACAATGTATTGGTCACTATGTTACTTGATGAAGTTTTTTAATTGGATTGAGTTGTAATATTGAACTATTCTGCTGCATGGTGTCATTCAGGTATGAACTTATAAAGTTGAATCATTTTAGGGGATTGTCATTGAGCATTGTTCAGTTGTTTGCGAAACAGGTATGGCACATGGCTTCAGATACAAATTGTTCTGATATTGCACTTCCCTGGGATGAATGTTTGTTCCAATGTTTTATTCTCCATTTTCTATTTGTGATTTAGATATTGCATGGATTGGCTCTAATGAAAGATGCTGGTATAATTCATTGTGATCTGAAACCAGAAAACATTCTGTTATGCACGAGGTAAGCTAATCCTCAGACTGAGGTTAGAGAGCAAATTATGAGTTAGATCTCGTTCTTCCCAACGTTGTTTGTGTCATGAAATTAACAGTGTGAAGCCAGCAGAAATCAAAATTATAGACTTTGGATCAGCATGCATGGAAGATCGAACTGTTTACTCCTATATTCAGGTCCTCATCACTGCCTTTATCAAAAACTCTGTTTCAATATTATTAAGTTGATAAGGTCTCAATCTGATCCTTTTTATTTTTCCTGCAGAGTCGCTACTATAGATCACCTGAAGTTCTTCTTGGATATCAGTATCCTTCTATGTTAAAGTTATTGCTTTTTCAGTTTTTCCCTATTCTTTCCATCCTAAGTTCATGAGCAGCTGCTACTTGATGGGTTGTACTAGGCATAGCTTGAGTGGANTAGATCACCTGAAGTTCTTCTTGGATATCAGTATCCTTCTATGTTAAAGTTATTGCCTTTTCAGTTTTTCCCTATTCTTTCCATCCTAAGTTCATGAGCAGCTGCTACTTGATGGGTTGTACTAGGCATAGCTTGAGTGGAACTTAGACAAAGGGAAACCATCGGTTGAGCTCGTGGGATTATGGTAGTTACTGGTCTAAAATCCGAAAAATGAACTTAGGTTGGGCTGTGTTGAGGAAAAAATATCCTTAGCTTACATTGTTGTTTAGGCATCTAGCGACCAGAATTCAACCCGATTTTTATTATATGATGGATACATTGGCAATCGACTAATCATCGTTGCTTTGTGCATGGAGAAAAGTTTGTTATGCGACATGAGTTCCGAGTTTGGGAGCAGCCATTTTGTGCTGAAAACAGAGAAAAAAAAGCTCCAGATTAACTATGCACCCAGTTTACTACTTGCAAAACCCAACATCATGCATATGTTGACATGTGAGAGTACTGTTTATTCTTACTTTTGTCCTTGTGCCTCTTCCTAAATTGTGAAAACCTCGAGTAAAATGTTGCTCGTGGGATTAACAGGCACAAGTCTTGTTCTCGATAAAAAAAATCCTGAGCTAGGTGTGAAAAGAAAAAAATTGGATATTATGTTTATCGAGTTCAAAGAGAAATTATATCTCACATCGAAAGAGTAAGTACACCCAAGTTTAGATTATATACTTGGGTTGTCACTCCATCCATTGACATTTGGCTTTGAATTGAATGTGGTATCAAAGTTGGGCTTAGTTGGTGGGCCAAGTCTCTCATTCATTAGAATTCCCTTTTTTGTTTGTCAGTCTATTTCGGTTCAACTCCAGTCTAGTTTTATGCCTGTTTTAGTTCAGTTTGCTAGCCCATGTACGAACTGAGGTCGCATGGGAGGGAAGGTGCGAATAAAGCTTGGGTTCCAAACCCAAAGTTGGTTTATATAGTTGAAGAGTTACTCCACTCATTGCCAATTGGTTTTGTTTTAGGTGCTTTATTATCAAAAAGATATCGATACTAGTGCTTTGAGTAATATTGATATTGAGTAAAACGTGAAATGGGTACAAGATAGAAAGATGACAAGTCCTTTGGGTCAAATCAAAAGACAATGAACATCGACTATACCCATATTGCTCAAACCCATATCCTTTGAAGTCTTTGGAGTCTCAAAGAAATGAGAAAAGGTTATCATGATTACAGCTACTAACTTGGCCAAAAAGTTTACCTCTTCACTTGACCTAGGGGATCATCTAATCTCTATCTGCAAACACATATACATATCTAGGACGCCCATCAACCACTAAAGACAATGCCATTACGTAATGATGTGGCTATTCATTCACGTCAATACTACAATGCGGTGGAGTAACAGTGTCAAGTGTTCAATTTTTCTACTCTCCATGCCAAATTTATTCATTCCATTATTATGGTTCACATATTAATTAGCCAATAGAAATGATTTTGTGAAAACGGTTAAAGAAACTCACATATTTTTTTTGGCTAGGTAGGAGGTTGGAGTGAAAAGTTCTTTGGATTCAAAGTCCTGGGAATAGGAAAGTTCTGAAAAATATTACTATCATCTAATAATGTTCTCCCCCTCCCCTTTTCCTTGACTTGAGACTATCATTATTCCATTAAATATACAATTGCCGATGTTGTTTGATTGCTTTATGCTTTTGGATATTAACCATGATATTCCATTTTTTTGTCTCAAAAATATTTTAGTGTTGGGGTTCAGTGCAGAACTTAACCTTTTTTCAGTTATACTACTGCCATCGACATGTGGTCATTTGGGTGCATAGTTGCTGAATTGTTTCTGGGGCTGCCGCTGTTCCCTGGAGCATCAGAATTTGATCTTCTTAGGAGGATGATAAAAATACTCAGGTACGGCTCTCTAACTTTTATAGTCCTTTAAAGAGTCATTCAGTTTTATGGTTCTAGGCTCAATTTTCTGTGCATGATATACTGAAAATTTCTTCATCCAATTCTTGAATGAATAGTTATGGTTTTTTTTCCTTCGAAAGTTCTTTTGTGAAGTGATGTTTTCTGGTATGAAGATAGGAAGAAAAAAGATGAAATGATCTTCTGTAGAAATACAAAAAATGAACTAAATCTTTTTAGTTCAATTTGTGAATATGATGCTGATAAACACGAGAGATGAGAAACGCTTATTTTATCAGCATTATCTTCTGTAGAAATACGAAAAATGAGCTAAATCTTTTTGGGTCAATTGGTGAATATAATGCTGATAAAATAGGGAAACACCTTTCATTATAATATAGCCTTCATCAATGTTCTGTTACAACTACTTTTGCTTATGCCAAATATTGCATTCTACTAGTTCCTAGACCCGTTGTGAGGAAGAATTTGGATATGTCAATACTGAAATCTTAGTGACATTTGTAGTGAAGGTTTAAGAAATATTTTGAAAATTAAAAAAAGGCGGCTCAGCGTTGGGTTTGGGAAGAGTCAAATATATGCAACCTTACTCCTGCTTGTAGAAATACTGTTTTCTCGACTCAATCTCATGATGCTCAAGTCGCAATTGAGCAAACTCACGGCTGTGCCAAGGCCAACCCTCGAGAAATATTCCAAAATCTGAAACAAAACATAAAACTTGAATTAGACGTAGAGATGTCATGGAAACTATTGTCTTAGAGGACATTGTAGGTAATATTTGAATGGCTGACAATATCATTCTTTTGTTTTGTTTTTTTATGTGGTAGTGGTACCCGAATGATTTATAAAATTAAAATATGCTTCTTAAATTGCATGTTTTTTTTAAGTCAATCCAATAATTTGAATATCAGGATTAAAGACGTATGAGGTTCAAACTCAACATAGCACCTCGAATTTGTTGGATGTTGGAGCTTTCCATTGGGGCATGGTGTGTTTTATGTAAATCTCAAATCGTTGATGCACATTGTAGCCATTGTGTAGTGTTCATCCCTTCGATAGGGACCTCTTTCTTTCCCTTCATAAACATATATTGAGTAATGAATATTAGATCATTTTTAGTAAAAAGAGAGAGGGTAGAGTGAGCTGTGGGTGCTATTTTTTCCAGAATGATATCCATAAAGGAATTCTGAGTGTATTAGAGAAAAATATCATCTACAATGATGTTATCTTAAAATGGGATATTCTTGTAGTTCTTATACAATAGAATAGACATATGTATGTGAGAGGGGGAGAGAGAGCACATTACCCCTTCCCCTACCATTAACTTGTCCTCAACACACCCCCATCAACATCTGTCTACAACCCACTCTGCCAATTCCTTGCAATTCGCAGCTTGTAATTCTCTGCTTGATGCTTCTTTCAATGGGAACTATCACTCACAGATCAAACTGATCACCTTCCTTTGTATATCGCAATTATTTGCTTACAACATCATTTGCAAATCATTATTTGTCACTTAGCATTGTTTCAGGAATTATTGGCTTGCCAGTGTTGCATCCCATACCTCCATCGAAACCGCTTCACCAACATGTCATACCTAGTTTTAGTCCTTTATTATGAAATTTGAAATGCTAAATTTCTGCCCTGCTTTACTCAATCTGTTATGGGTTGTATTTGATTGAATTTGGGGGCTTGGTGTTCGAGTGGTGTTGCAAATTGAAGGTGGTATTAGATTTATATTTTTGTCAGTGTTTAAATTATTGTTTGGATTTTGATTTCTAATGGTTGTTGGTGCACCCTTTTTGTCGTAGTGTTGCTAGTTTGTGGGTGGTGGTGTAGTGATTTTGAGGTTGTGGCTGATGATTTTGTGATAGTTGTCTTTGTAGGTTTGTGGGGAAAATACTCTCAATTGTGTGCCGAACTTGTGGTACTGCAATGTTGTTCTCTACTGAGCGGTTGTGTGTGTGTGTGTGTGTGTGTGGTGTTGGGCTAGTGGAAGTGAAGGTGGAGCAAGATAGATGGAGATGGTATAGATGGGGATTGTGGTGCGTGTATGTGTAGTGAATGGTACGTGTGTTGTGGTTAATTGTGGAGCAGATGAAGGAGAGGGGTAATCATTGAAATTTTGAAAGAATTTTAAATGACAGGTCATTCTCGGTTTGTCAATAACGATCAACCACAATAATGAAAATAATGGGTTTATTGCACTAGGAATGCACTACTCTAACTTGATAACATTTATTCTTCGTGAATCAAACATAGACTCATAGACATGCTTTGTTGATTTGGAAGTATTAAAAAAACTTGTCAGCAACATAATCAACAAGAAGCATAGTTCAAGGTATCAGTTGATACCAGTACGACTTGGCATTTTTCGATCCAAGGCCGTTCCATGCCCCGTATACATTGCAAGTTGAGTCATCGTCACTTAATGGGGCCATACTGTTCTGCGATGCAGCAATATGGCCTAAATCTGATGTCATGTTAAACTTCTTCTATTACGCAATAATTCTTGTGAATTGCTCAATATAATTCCACAACACTAAAACCGATGCATCTTAGTGACTTCCAAATTGATGGTTCTTATTGTGGCTTTGAACCATGGCGAGAAGAGTTATTAAATCACGTTTCTTATGCTGGAATCACAATTTACTTCTATGTCCACTCCATGTGTGTGCATGTCATAAAGGCAACCCATATAGCAATGGTTAATGGCGAAAAGGAGCTGGCTAGAATTTTATATTAAAGGATTTTTGTTTTGTCTATGTGGAAAGAAAAATCATAAACGCAAGACAAATGTAGTCAATGTGCATTTAAAATCACTAAGCAACAATCCATCACATGACGTACTAGTTAGAGTACGTCCTGAGCCATAGGGTCATAGAGATGCTGGCATTTTTTAATACCTCACTTGTAGATGCCTTTTTTCAACTTCCCTAATCAAATTTCACAACTTTGGCATCCCAGTTTTGACTTTTGAATGATGTAGAGAGATGATGGAAGAGTAGAAACATGCAGGGCTGCACCCCAGGCAGGTTGAGAGGTCAACCTGGAATCGATCTGAACCCGACTTTTAACCAGACCTACTCGACCTAATTACTGACCATGTTCAACTTTTCAAACACAGGTTGAGCTCGGGTCTAATTCAGATTGCTCTAGATACTTGACTGGCATGTCAATCACGCTTCCAGATTATACTCTTCAACTTAGTGACATAACAATCCAACATCATTACAGTACAAACAGTACCATAAGCAGTCCAGTGAATCAACGAGTCCTTGTGCTGAAATAATTTCTGTCATTTTGGGTATGAGTTTCTTTTCCAACCATGGTAGAGCCCTCTTGACACAAATGGATGCATTTGATATAAAATCTTGAACAGAGAGTTAGTTGTAAACCCAAAATGCACTCAATGTTCTGGACTTGCAGAGAACTAAGTGAAGGATAAAGGATCCTTTTCTAGTGAGAGATGGGAATGAAAAGGCAAGATGATATAGACAATAGAGAGAGAGAGAGAGAGAGATGAAGATTAGATCTACTAATCCTTTCGCCTTCCCATATATATTTCTACAAAACTCGACTTAGCAAAGCCTTGTCCTTAAATTTTTGGGGTTGGCTACATAAATCATGTTTCGTCATTGTACTATTTCAAGGGCCATACTTTATGTTAAACCATAAGTTATCATATCTTTCTTTACTATTTCAGTTAAAGTTAATTTTGACCTTTCTCTACTCCAATGCTTACCGTCAATAGCTATCATATCACTCTTTATCACTGGTGCTGTTGTTGGCCGTCTATAAATATGTTCAAACTAGTTAAGTAGATTCTTCCTTATTTACCTTTTATAGATACTACCTCTACTTTTTAATAGATATAATCATTCCCATAGTTTTAAAACCCGCCCAGGGTCAACCCGGAAAACCGGATCCAAAACCGGGCCAGTTCGGCAATTAGATTGTTTAAACATGTGATCCGTTGAAGAACTGGTGTCCCTTGCGGTTTTTTCAAAAAATCTTCAACCTGGACAAGTGGAGCAAATTGTGCGGTTCATTGCCATTGTATAAAATCAGATTTTTTGGGCATTCTTCCTCTTATTTCGCAATTAGCTCTGTAGCTTTGCCTCCATTCACGTTTTAGACTTCTCAGGCTCTCTCACGACGCACCTCCATTCGGACCATCCCTACTCTTCAAGTTGAAAGCTCCAGTTATCCGTCTCCTCTAACTCTCCTCTCACACTGTGTTTATGACTTTATGCAATTTCATCTCTATGCAATTCGGTCGGCGACAACTCTAGGTCTCAAGCTCACAGTGCATGATCTGCTTTGTTGTATCCTCTCGTCTCTGTCAGNGTCGGCGACAACTCTAGGTCTCAAGCTCACAGTGCATGATCTGCTTTGTTGTATCCTCACGTCTCCGTCGGNGGAGCAAATTGTGCGGTTCATTGCCATTGTATAAAATCAGATTTTTTGGGCATTCTTCCTCTTATTTCGCAATTAGCTCTGTAGCTTTGCCTCCATTCACGTTTTAGACTTCTCAGGCTCTCTCACGACGCACCTCCATTCGGACCATCCCTACTCTTCAAGTTGAAAGCTCCAGTTATCCGTCTCCTCTAACTCTCCTCTCACACTGTGTTTATGACTTTATGCAATTTCATCTCTATGCAATTCGGTCGGCGACAACTCTAGGTCTCAAGCTCACAGTGCATGATCTGCTTTGTTGTATCCTCTCGTCTCTGTCAGTGTTTCAGCCATCGCATAGTGGATCATGTATATGGTAGTAGATGTTTTTTATGCATTTTTCTTGGATGAAATGTTTACGGGTGTTAGGTTTGAATATACATAGGTAGTTGTATTTTGAGGATCTAGTTTATGAATTAGGCTTTTTCTTGGTAAATTTTTAATGGGTTTGTCATATATGATAATAGTGTTTTGCATTCCAAAATACAACACTGGTTATAATTACAACTGTTATTTGCTTTCTAAAATACATCAAAGTAACCATTATTTCACATCGCCCATAATTGTCTCTTTAGTTTGTCTTAGAAAAATTATATCTTAAAGTTTACAGTGGAACAAATATATCCAAATAGAAATATATTTTTGTTATAATATTAATATCTCAATAGCTGAGTGCTTATTTTTTTCATGTACCTTATGACGGCAAATTTGGTGGAGTGTTCGTAGATTTGTATAATTGGAGTCTTGATTCTCTTAAACTTGGGTATAGGTACTTTTCTCAACTTAGTTTTGTAAATTGTGTCAAAAAATTGGATGCATTGTATATATGTTTAGTATTTCTGATGTTTATATTTGATCTTTTATACTTAAAACATCATATTTTATGCAATTATTAATTTTTTTTGGCATATTTTTTACTATTAATAATTATTTATAATTTTTTTATTATATGACCGGTTCGACTAGTGACCCTATGGTTGGACAAGTAACACATTACTCGGTCCCTTTGCCAGGTTGATGTCCAGGCCGCGTTTTAAGACTATAATCATTTCTAATTCTATCTTCACTCTCATAAACTAATAAAATATCATCAACAAATAACGCACACAATGTGAGCTCATCGTGATTGTGTTTAGTTAATTCATCCATAATCAGCATAAATGGATACGGACACAGAGCAAGACTGTTGTAAACTTACAATTATTGGGAATTCGCGAGTCTCTCCTCTTGTTGTTCTCAGTGAGGTCACCACATTTTCAAGCATATTCATAATCACATCAATATAGGGAACAATGATTTTTTTCTTCTTTAGAACCCTACATAATATATCTCTAGGGACTCTATCATTTGCATTCTCTAAGTATATAAAATCAATATAAAGGTCTTTATTGTTCTCTCTATATCTTTATGTTAGTCTTCAAAGTAAGTAAATAGCTTTCATTGTTGATCTCCCAGCTATAAATCTAAATTGATTCTTAGGTACTGTTGTTTCAAACTTTAATCTTTGCTCGATCAGTTTCTCCCAAAGTTTCATTTTAAAACTCATTAGTTTAATATCTTAATAGCTTGTGCATCATTGTATGTATCCCTTTATATATAGGCATTACAATGCTTTTCTTCCACTCATTGGACATTTTATTGGTCATTATAATTAACCATGATATTCCATCACCCCTGAGACGCTTTCAAACCTCAGTAAGTATACCATCTGGTCCTAATGCTTTCCCAATCTTTCATGTTCTTTAATGCCTCTTTTACCTATGACATCCTAATTCTACGAAAATATGTGTTTTCTCCAAGCTCTATATGATTTCTAAAGCTCTTAATGTCTAAGCTCCCTATATAATTTTCATTTAGTAACTTTTCAAAGTAATTCTTTTACCTTTTTTTAATTTTCTCATTTTGTACCAAAACCCTGAAGTCTTCATTCTTAATTCACTCAATATGATTGACATCTCCAGTTTTTCTTAATTTAGCTTCGCTTGCCCTATTTTTTACTTATTTATTTGTAAGCTTGTAACTTTCAAATTCCTCTTTGTTTTTAGTTTTTTGCCATGTTTAATAGCACTCTCTTTTTTGCTTTTCTTACAATTTTGACATCATTTTACCACAAAGTTTCTCTCTCCAATGATCCATTACCTCTTGAACTTGAGTTTAATATTGGGGTTGAGCCCGATGTGGATATTCTGGTTGAAACTTTGAACCCAAAGGTCCAACTCATTATTGCGGGTTGGAATTTTTCGTCCAAGCCCAACCGAAGAATTGAAGTTTTTGGGTTGTGTTCGGGTTAGCCTGTGCAAGTTGCACACCTAGAAAAAATTATAGTGTATAAAAATGCCTTGCAAAATATGGCATTGTAATCTCTGGCTTTGCTGGCCCTTGCCAGCACAGGTTATGTGTTTGGGCCTTTGAAGTGTTGGTAATTGGGTTGTCTTCGTACCATTTGATTGATTTACGACTAAAGATGCCTCCTGTGGGGCTACCTGCTGCTTTTGGGCTAGCAAATTTTTTCTTGAGTTTCTTTTGCCCCTTAATTTGACCATATTGCTGGGTAGTACAGCTGCTACAGCATGCCAATCTTCTTTTGAGGACATCTGGCTTAGTTGGCAATTTGTTTGGCATGTCTACCCTCTGTTTGGTGCATTCTGATCATTTTTGTCGATTAGCTTAGCAGTAATTGCTGTATATCTTTTCATAACACATTTATAAAACAAAAAACTTTAGTAATCTTTTGAGAAAGAACTTTTTATGTGTCACATATTGGCAATATGTGATTAGGTGCGGCATATCAGCAGTGTATCGTTAATCTACTTGTCAAGAAAAGTCGTGCCATTAGTATTTATGGCCCCATAAGGTTTCAGTTTATTAAGCCAAGAGAAATAGAACCCTTGGTTTTTGTTTTCAATAATCAACATATATTTTTCCTAAATAATCTAAATCATGTCACCGCATTATAGAAGGGAAAATACAATAATCGTTCTATAGTTGGTGCTTTTATGTATTGACCTTGTCCCTCGAATCCCTCCCAAAACTTGCAAAATTTAAGGCTTAAAGGTGGTTTGTGGATTGTATGATCCAACTATATAATTTCGGCTCTTTATTTTTGTTTTTGTATACGTCTGAGTGGCTTTGGGGATGATACCTACATAAATTTTTTTTCACCAATATAGTAGGTAGACTGGTAAGTGATAACTTGTACTTTGGTATTCTTTTGCATTTTGTGCAGCAGTCCCTTGTTTATGGAGCTCTGAGACAAACTAAATCCCTACTATCCAAACTTAAGTGTGGTATTTAGGTAAACATGTATCAGCAGAATAGCGACGTTAGTCCATGGTTCAACCTTGACAACAAATCACCTTTTTAGTTACAGAAACCTTAGGAAAAGAGCTTTTCTGAGTTATCACATCAAACAAGAGCAAAAGTGCATTTCAAAAGGTGGAAAATCGAAGATTACAAGGTTGCGCATGGATACCATCTCTAAAAATTGATGGCAGTTTGTTTTGCTGCAGTGAGATATGTTGCATCTTTTACCATCTATGGTGTTTTAATCTGAAAATTTGCTTATATATTTGCATGCGAGTGGTTAGTACCGTCTTTATCTGAGCTGGTTTTTTTATGTTGTCTCATATTTTTCGAAGTTATTTATATTTGTATGCATTCGTCTATATTCACTAAGAATTTTAAGCAATACTGTTTGGATTTTGTACAGTCAGGTAATGATATTTGACTATTTAGTTATATACGTTTCGAATTTTGTAGGGGACAACCCCCCGATTATGTGTTAAAGGAGGCGAAAAACACCACCAAGTTCTTTAAATGCATTGGGAGCGTTAGCCAAGAGGAGAGTGGTCAGGTTTTTATTAGTAGACGAAGTGCTTACCAAGCTTTAACAGAAGAAGAATATGAAGCTGTAAGTGCTCGAGTTACAATATCTAATTTTCTACAGTTAAGAGGATAGAAAAGGGACTGCCAACTAAAGTTGGTTTGGTAACATCTCTGACTATTAGTCTGTGGTTTTTGTTAGTTGTTTAAGTTTCCAATAGTGAAAAAAATTGAAATCAGCCATTGTTGGTCCTTTCTGGGGTGCTGCGAGGAGTAAACTCTCTAAACCTTCGTGGAAAGAGATTGTTTTTGCCTTTCGGACTTGAAATCCTCTTTGCACTCTTGATTTCTTAAATTTATATGTGTGGTGTATATTTTCATTTATTTTGTTGCTATGTTTCATAGAGGGAGCTGAAAAAACCGTCAGTTGGAAAGGAGTATTTTAGTCATATGGATCTTGAAGATATTGTCAATAAGTACCCTTATAGGAAGAACTTGCCAGAGGAAGATATGGTTAAAGGTAAGTTGTTTTATCCTTCTAAAACTGGTTGATACTTTTTTGCTGAATGAATTACTATCATACGTCAAACAATGATGGATACCTGTGCTCCCATGAACATGTTGCAGAGAGACTAACACGATTAGCACTGATTGATTTCTTGAGGGGACTTGTTGAGTTTGATCCAGCAAAGCGGTGGTCTCCTCTGCAGGTTATTGAACCTTTTTTAGCTGTCTGCTTTTCTTGTCTTATTGTTTAATGAACAACCATAGGGATGAGACCTTTGTTTGGCAGTTATACACAAGTTCAAGAGTCCCAATCAAAGAAAACACTATCAATGGGGACATATAAATGATTTCTAAACAAGCAAACATTGCTAGTACAACTGGAAATTTTATATCTTCAATGATTCTACCTTTTCTCCCCTACTAGTGGGCACCCAATCATGACTTTTTTGCCCTTGAAATTAAGGGTGGTCTAGTGCAGGGGGTTCTGCTATTGCAGGGTCTGGAGAAGGTCAGATGCAAGCAACCTTACCTTAGCACGCTAAGAGGCCTTAAACATAAAAAATTGTTCTGTATCCTTTTCTTGTCAGTTATAGTCCACCCACTTGAAATTTATATAAATGTTGATTGAGATATAACAGTGACATATGACAATAAAAGAACAAATAAAAACTATAAATTGTTGCATTCAACATTGAAGAAACAAGTGATTTATTGAAACCCAGCTTCCTTGAACATAAGAATTATTTGGGAATTTTTCTTTTGTCTTGATCAAAATATGTACCATAGAACATCTATCATTATTGTCGACTATGCCAGGAAATACGCCTTAAGATGGATTCAAAGAGTCGACACTCTTTAAATTGTCAGTAGATGAATTATCTTTTTAAACTGCAGGCTTCAAAACACCCTTTTGTGACTGGGGAACCTTTCAGATGCCCTTATGAACCAGCTCCGGAGACCCCTCGCATGGTAAATAATTTGTATATAATCTTTCTGATAGGCTAGCTTCAACTGAAGGCGCACTACAAATTCATTTCACTATTTTTATGCTAAAGACATTTCATGAGAGGTTTGTTGGATGCAGTTGGCTTTTAGTAAACATTGATCGGGATATGACTATCTATCTTATATGTTAGATTTACTGTATCTTTTTTGTTGGTTTTTTGTTCCACTAGATATATCTTCCTTATCCATTGGTCTATGTTTATCTATTCTACTCATGTGCATTGGAGAGAAATTAGTTTTTGAAAGATTCAATTTTGCAACGGATACCCCTACCTTTATTGGCAAATGATGTTTGGTATATGCCTTTAGTCTAGTTCTGATTTCCTTGAGAATTATGCATGCTCAGGAGTTTTCCTTTAGCTTGCAAAGAAATATGAAGTTTTAATGCTAGGTTAGTTTCAACTTTCACCTTGGTTCACATGGTTAGAGGGTGTCCCACATCAATAAGATAACAGTTCTCCAAAATAGTATATGAGCCTTGGGACCTCTCCACTCATTGCAAGTTGATTGTGTAATGTAGAACGGAGAGAGTAGGAGAAGAAAGAATAAGAGAAACCAAATCTTTGGAGGGATTAGGTCAAGTGACACACAAAAATTCTCCACAGGGAACAAACTTCAACAAGCACCACTTTAATGAAAATAGTAGAGGTTAGATCAATATTTATACGCCTAGTCTCTTAACATTTTAAAAATTGCTATCATGCTAAAATTCTGAAGTAGTTTCTTTATCAAACTCTGACTACTCAAAATTACTTCTACTATTTTAGGCAAACAAGTATACCTTAGTTAAACGATCCAACAAATAATAATAACTATTTAAAATAATCTTATTAAACTAATGATAACATTTCTCATTTGACCAGAAATTTCTTGACTTTCTTTAGGCTTCCAAAGTCGATTGTATTTGATTTAACTAACCAATGGTTGCCTCATTAATTTCCCCCGTCAAAAAAAATTCGATTTTGACGAGTAAGAAGGAGGGCCAATAATGCTACTTGATGGAGAAGCTCGCCGAATCAATAATACAAACATTTTTGTCGTGCCCCCGTTTCTAGGATGTGTTACTTGATTAAATCAATCGACCACGATAAACCACAAATACATCCCCGAATACAGGGCTAAAGCTCTAATTATTTCGATAAAAATAATTTCCATAACATACAAATGAATCTGTTCGAATTATATATCATCACAATAAATCCACAAAGTTATAAAGCTGTAATTCTCTCATATTTTAACTTTGGTCATTCTCTCAAAGATAATCCTGAAAAATATTAGAAGTGGGGAAGCATACAATAATATGTTCAACGATAAACCAAAAAAAAAATTCAAGTAATCAAATACCAATAATTCAAATGATGAGGATCATGGATAACGAAATTAAGAATCACATTCGACTGGTCACATAGCTCAATTACTATCAAACATAGCCTCATACTCGGTCCTTCTTGGTGACATGACAAGTGATACTTAGACATATAAATCCATACTCATACTAATCAATCACAACCCATAGGATTGTAATCACAATCGCATCCCGCTGGACCATAATCACATTTTACCAATTATGCATCAAATACACTTTATACATGTACCAATCAATCCCAAAAGATTTAGCCCAAAATACAGGTCAATCAATAAAATTGACAAAATTCTGTATCAATCAAAATAATCAATAGAAATACAAATTTCAGATAATCAAAGGACACTGTTTGCAAAGAGATTTAAAAGATAGGAGCATATTGTATATAATCTCGTACCTCAAAATCACCAATGTCTTCAATATATGTAAAATTTGAAGTACCTTGAACAAGATACTTAAATTTCATAGCAATATGAAGTAAAACTACCGTTCAATTTTTGACCTCAAAATCTCATAAGTTTCCCTTCTATTGTCTCTTTCTCCCTCCCTCCCTTGTGCTCACTTATCATGGCTATTTATAGCCACTTTGGCTTGGCTTTACATCACATGTGAGGCATGAGAATTGCATCAGCATGGACATTTGTCCATTTCTTGTTTTTTTCTTCTCTATCTAATATGCCTGTCACCACTTATGTTAATGACTACTTTTTTCCTTTCTTTCTTTGACACTTGTACATCTAAAACATATGTATATATATATATATACACATACATACATACATATATTATATCATTCTGATAGTATGACATTTTGTTTCAACTCGTAATATAACCTATATTTATATTTGAGGTTCATTAGTTCATTTGAAATTTCTAAAAATAATCCTCAATTATATAGAATCGTAATTGACGACCAAATTATCATGTTAGCAATTAATTTTTATACTGGTTATCACAATTTTCAATTATACTTAAGTAAGTGGCTTGATGAGGATAACTAAGTTGACGCGCCGGGGTTGGCTGTTGGCACAACATGGTGGTACTGTCTCCTTAAGTGTGCTAATGGTATAAGTTGGCATCCCTTATCAACTTTCAACTTCCATGCTATATGATATGGTCCTGGATGTGGTTCAACTTTCAAGTGCAATTTCTTCATAACCTCTTTTGATACTACATTTGTACGACTGTGGAACTCCCTATGTCAATACCAATGAGCATATCTATTCTTCACAATTAACCCTTGTTTGAAAGATTTTTCCTCTATGAATAAGTTTGCATTTAGCAACTTCTTTATTACCAATAAATAATGGATGGATAACACTCATCACACGATCATCCTCCAAATTATGAAAATTAAGCTCACTTACATCGAGAGGTTCCATAGTTTACGTTTCAAATTCTGACTCATCAGACTCATTATTTACATTGGAATTTTCCTATTCAACCANCACGATCATCCTCCAAATTATGAAAATTAAGCTCACTTACATCGAGAGGTTCCATAATTTACGTTTCAAATTCTGACTCATCAGACTCATTATTTACATTGGAATTTTCCTATTCAACCACGACATGGAAAAGACAGATGATAAAAACCATGATTAGTAAAACATCTCACCTTAGGATTAGTATTCCCTTAAGAAGAAGAAGCAACACTAACTCGATATGGTTTTTTTTGAATGAAAGTACTCTCGACATCTCGACTTGTCTTTGATTGCATCTATAAAAGTTCTTTCACTTCGGGTTGTAGACACCATAAAAGTTTCCATAGAAGCTATCTTTTTCAACTCAACTTCCATTTGACAAGCATCCTAAACTTGTAGCTAAGCCCGAAAAAACCTGTGAATTGAGTCATTGCCTGTACATAGCAAACATCATATCCATAATCACCAAGTTGTAGAACTTTCATGTATACTCCTCAAGTGACATGTTTCTCTAAGTCAACTGAGTAAGCTAGAGATAAGCTCGTTGCTTATAATTTGTAGGTACAAAGTAGCGAGTCAAATGGGTCTTCATATCATCCCATGATCTATCAAAATTAGTTTGTTGGTACTTTACACACCAAAGTTTTGATATACCTTTCAATTTAGATTCTGCAAAGAGTACATTTTTTTCATCGGTTGAGTGATGCCATCTAAAGATGCTCTCAAGACTGTGTAACTAATCAAGGAATATCTTAGGATTATATTATCTCCAAGAAAATCCCCAACCTCTAGTTTAACCCCATTATCAACATCAAACAATCTGCAATTATCTTGAGATAGAACTTGAGCCACAACTAGATGATAAATAATAGTTGAAGAAGATGAATCCATATCTACAATCTTCTTAACTTCTTTCCCTTTCTTATCTAAGAGGTAAGCTTCCATTATTGCCTTAGTGATGCTATGGATGCTTCGAGTGAACATACACTTGAGATAAAGCCTTTACTTTGACATTTAATTTGGTGTTGGAGACCATCTTGATGGAAGTTGTGCTAAAAGTTATCTGAAAATCTGAGGCTAAACTATAATTTCAAAAACTTCTGGGGTTAAATCTGCATATTCACAACCTTTTTGGGACAAACTATAATTTTGGAAGTATTTGGCATTATATATGTAAGTTTAGAAACTACTGGGGTAATTATTATAACTTTGAAAAATTATTGTGATGCATACGTGGTTTTTGTAAGTTTTGGGCACATGTGCAATTTCAAAAGCATTGGGGAGTGGATCTAGGGTTTATGAAAATTTGGGTATGTGATGTTGGGTTGGATTAGAATGGGCTTTAGGTTACTATTATTATTTTTGGATGGTTTGGTCCTATTCAAGCTTGGGTCAAAAAGTATTGGGATGTGGGTTTGGTTGGGTTCAAACTTGGGTCAAAGTTTTTGTTAGAGTTCTTATTTCATATATTAGACATAATTTAGTTTGTGTAGGGTAACATTGTAATTACTCTAATATTACATAGTTATAAGAGAGTATAGGACAACCTAAACCCGCGCAACTGATTATTGTCCTTTGTTTGTCTCTCTTTTTTCTCTTTTTTTCTCTAACTCTAATATCATTTTTATTATTTCAACTTGATTTCAGAGCAAGATTATTAGGCAAGACCCGTAAAAACAATACAGAAAAAAAGGAAAAAAAATTTGGCCACTGTTGTTCGTTGCTGACGTCATTGCCAGAATGTTGACGTTAGCACTTTTTGGTGAGCTTTTGGTGACAGAAAAATACCTTTATTTGTCCATTAATTCGGGCATATTTTTTGTGGTTTATTTCTTCGATCTCCTTCCATTGGTGCTGATTTGGACTAAGTGGGAGTTTTTTTGTGTTGTCCAGCCTTGTTTGGCTGATTTATTGGTGTTTTTGAGCAAATCCAATGCTGACAGCTCTGTGGTGATATGCGATTGGCTTTGGCTTGCTTTAGATCTCTTCGATCTTGGTTGATTTGCTCCAATCCAGTGTTGTTCGTTTCTTTGGTTGGAAGCACTATTTGATCCTATTCTGTTAGATCCCTTCTAGATTTATTCGATCTATTCCAGATCTGTTGGTTATTCTGTTAGATTTGTTCATCCAACATTTTTTTCTTGTTGTTTCTTGACCTCTGTGTTGTGATTTTTGAGGTATAGTTGTGTGATTGATTCCTATGTTGTTGTTGGGATTTTTTGGTTGGATTGTTGCTTGGATTTGCAATTGTGGGTGCCGATTTGGTTTTGGGTGGAACTACTTGAGATGCCCAGTTGTATATGTTGGTTTGGACATGTTTTTTGTGCCTAAGGAGTGTTGACTTCTTGTTGTTTTGGTCTAGAGAGGCTTTGCACACTTTAGCTACTAGTGTTTGTGATTGTTTTTGTCTCGTGTTGTGTTTGAACTCTACTGGTGTGTTGTGTTGTATTTCTGCTAACTAGGTTGGTTTGTGGCAACGAAATTGACGGTGATTTGAGTTTTTTTTGCTGTCGGTGATTTTAGCATCTCGAGCAATTTTTTTTGGCTTCATACTTTGTTGTTTGTGTGATTAAGGATTATTTGTGGTCTATTGATTCCTATTGTTGCATACTTGACCGTGGGTTTCATAATTGCAAACTTGAATGGTGGTTGTGGTGGTAATTATGGCAGTGGAAATGGCCCTACTCCGTCATATAGGACGTGATGTGTGTTTCCTATGAAGATGTATTGTGACAATCAAGTAGCTATTTTTATTGCAAGTAATTCAATATTTCGTAAGTGTATCAAACACATTGAGGGGGAATGTCATTTCATTCGAGATCTCTTGATATAAAAGGAGATCATCATTCCATGTATCAAGTCTGGTGGTAAGATATTCTTATTAAGCTATTAGCTCAGTTCACCCAAGGATCAAAATATCGTTTCGAAAACGGTCGAAATATCCGAAACGTTTGTTTTCAAGGAGACCGGAACGAAACACTAATGAAATTGAAATTCTAATATTTCAAGGTATTTCATAATGTTTCGAGATATATTATAATATTTCAATATATTTGCACAATTATTTCGGAATGTTTCAAGGTATTTCAAGATATTTTGATATATTTCAATTAATGTATTAGAAAAATAATTCTTAAATTTTTTATTTTTTTCATTATATTTTCGAAACGGGTCGAAACGTTTCTGAAACAAGTCGAAACGTTTCTGTTTCTTAGGTGACCGAAATAATACACCGAAATGAAATTTTGATCATTGAGTCCACCTTTAGTATATTTTCTAAATTGGACATTTTTTATATGATGTATTAGCTTGAGGGGGAGTGTTGGAGTTCTTATTTATATATTAAACATAAGTTAGTTTGTGAGGGGTAATATTGTAATTACTCTAATATTAACATAGTTATAAGAGAATGTAGGGCAACCTAAACCTACACAATTGATTATTATCCTTTGTCTGTCTCTTTCTTCCATCTCCCTATTTTTTCTCTAACCTTAATGTCGCTTTTACTATTTCACTTGGTTTAAGCAAATAATCTGGGTCGGATTGATCCAACTCTTTAAACCCAGCAAGCCTTTTCTTCCAAAGATGTTCTATTCGCGAACCAATCTCTACCTTCAAACTCCCTCATGTGAATAGGCAAAAGTTTGAGTTGCACTTGTCATTGGCGAAGGAGCATAAAGAAGTTGTAAAAATTAGGTTCTGATGCTTTCCCTTTTTGTTTCAAAATACGATGATTAGGGGAGGGGTGGGTGTAACATTCCATTAAGAAGTGTAAACCTCCCTCCGTCAGGAAAGAATCAAAACTGGAAAATCGATAGATTCAGAAGTGACCCTGTAGAATGAAAATATTCTGAAGGTGACTCGATTTTGGTACCAGTCCATAACGATCAAAGTCGAAACACAAGCCTAGCCTATATAATGTAATGAAGCAAATTCATTGAAGTAACAACTGGTATCATAAAGAGGCGGCCATAGGCTTGACCAATTCGAAAGATCATTCAATGTAGTTATAAACACAGTAGGTAGGAGGGACTGGAGAGACGGAAGCCGAGGATGAAAAGTAAACCTCTAATTCTTAGGGTTGTGAAAGATGACAAGAGAAGATGTCGACGTCTCTCCAACCAAGGATGAAAAATATACCTCTAATTTCAATGGGTGGTGAACAACGACAGAGAAGATGTAGCATGGATTTTCTTTTGTTTAGAACAAGTTGATGACGAACATCATAGTGATAAATGGTGTTGATAACTTTGCAGTAACACTCGAACAACAACAACAGACAAAGCTTAATCTGAATTGTATTTTAAATTCAAGTTGGTTTAGTGAGGGTGACCGCGAAAGTCATTGAATAGGTTAATCTTTTCACTCTGTATGTCCTAGATTTTAAATTGAAAAGGTCTAGAAGGATGTTGTAAATGTCTGAGTCGGACACGAACGAAGCTGGCTTGGACAACAGTGAATTCGATGGCAAAGAATAGAGAGAATAACAAGAGACAGATGGATTGGGGTTTTGCTTTGATACTAATTGATGTAGAATGCGAAGAGGAGGAGAAGAAATAATAAGAAATGCAACACCTTCATAAGGATTAGGTCAAGTAACACAAATTTTAATAATATCAATCTAACTTAAAATAATAGGGATTATACAAATATTTATAGGCCAAGTCCCCTAACAAAATAGAATTTACTTTTCTACTAAAATAGTTTCCTAATCAAACTCTCACTACTCAAAATTTTAAACACTCCTAGTCAAACAAATATTCCTTAATTATATAATCCAATAAATAATAATAATTATTTAAAACAATCCTAATAAAACTACCAATCACATTTTCCTTTTGACCAAAAATTCATCGTCTCCAATGTAGGATTCCAAAGTCGTTTTTATTGGTTCAACCAACCCATGGTTGTACCATCATTGTGGTTTGGATTCTTTACATGGTGTTTGAGTTGGGCTTGGGGAGGGTTTGGGAAGACTCAATCTCTTTGATTTGACTATTTATTCCCCTTTATTTGTGCTATAGGTGCACCTGTTGCATCTCTGAATTTGTCATCTGATTTTTCTGTTTATCTCACCACGTGGGAGGGAGGTGTTCAAACCTATGGTGCGTTATGTTAAAGTTTGTCCCAGACAGAATAATACCTTCCAAACTAGTTTATGAGCCTTGTGAGTCTTTCCACTCGGTTAAGTTTGATGTTGTAACAATGTGGATGTACTTCTCACCCCTTTGAATTGGCTCCTTTTTCACATGATAGGCTCTTGGGTATGTGATGATCTTTCCATTTGCATCTTTTATTTTAATGTTACTGTTATCATAACACTCATGACTCTATCATCATAATTATTATTGGTATTATATTGACCTTTTTTCCTTGCAGCCTGTTTCTCAAAATGTTAAAGTGGATCATCACCCCGCTGCAGGCCATTGGTTTGCTGCTGGTCTCTCTCCTAATGTGAGCAAAGCTGTTTTTTAAATATGTCGTTATTTTGGATATCATAAACATGGATAACCTTTCCTTATAAAATTATATTCATAATTCATGTAGATTTCAGGAAGGAATCGAGTTGCCCTCCATAACAGCCCACATTATCCAGTGGTGCCTTATACACATGCTGGTAGCTATGGCAGTTTGGGAAGCCATGGTAGCTATAATGATGGTACCGGGCTTGGAAGCAGCTATGGAAGCTATGGAGATAACACTAATATGCTTACATTTTATTCTCCAGTGGGTCCATCTGGGATGAATATCCATGCACAGGGTGGTGGGTCAGTACTTGGAACCAGTCCTGATGCAAGGCGGAGAATTATTCAGTTACCTCCTGGGAATGGGCTTGGAGTCAGTCCAGTGGGAAATTTTGTGCCAATGTCACTTGGCACTAGCCCTTCACAATTTACTCCCCCAAGTTCCTATAACCAGGTATCATCTGTTTCTCCTGGACAGTATGGTCCAAGTTCGCCAGCAAGAGGCAATTGTCATGGATCTCCATTAGGAAAAGGGGCTGCCGTCAGCCAGTTTAACAGAAAAAAGAGTTGGGGATATTCTGGAAGTGTACAATCACATGAAAGTTCATCACCTTCTCACTGGCAAGGGCATTGTACCGATGCTACCATCTCTAGCCAAGCTGAGGAGAACTCTCCAGTGCTTGGTGGTTCAACATTGTATGTACCGTCCAATTCAAATGTTGGTAGCTGGAGGCAGCAACAAGGAGGCAGTGGAATCACTTCTGGTTACCCTGCCACTCATAATATTTCCAGTTCTTCAACACTTTGTTCCAATATGCAATTTCCATATCCCAAAAGAGCCAGTCATAACAAGCCTGAGGCTAGTAATTCACTGCCTGATCCTGGAGATTGGGATCCCAACTATAGGTAAGAGTTAAAGAATGTTTGTTGACATAAGTGTATGCCCCATATCCTTCAGATGTCAATGTGAACTTGAGCATGCTTGAACTTCATAGACATATCACTGTGTGAAGTTATCGGTTTTTTAATTTGTTAGTGGATATTGCAACTCCATGTTAAAATCTCAATTTAGTTATCAATGATGTATTGATGTTTCATAATTGGCCTACTAATATATTAAAATGGCTATTGATAAGCTTAATGGCAGTTTGTTTGTAACTTTTTCTAACATTATGACAGTCCTTATGCTAGTACTACAGTTTATTTGAATGAGATAACATATTAAAGCCCAGTTATCAGACACACGGACAATTGAGACATCCTTAGAGCTCAATGTTCGTTACTTTCTTCTGATGGCGTTCCATTATCAGATCCTACACTCTATCGCACTATTGTTGGAAGTTTGATGTATCTTATTGTCACACGCTCAGACATCTCTTATGTAGTCCATATTGTTAGTCAATTTGTTGCCTCACCTACTATGGTTCACTGGGCTGCTGTTGTCCATATTCTTTGTTACCTTCAGTGTATATTGCATCAACATCCATTATTTTCTTCTTCTTCTTCATTGGAACTCCGGCTTATTCTGATGCTGACTGGGCTAGCGACTCTACTGATCGTAAATCCACAACTGGCTTCTGTGTCTTCCTTGATGATGCTTATTTTGTGGAAAAGCAAAAAACAAACTACGGTTGCTCATTCTTCTATTGAAGTTGAGTATCGTGCGATGGCTTCCGCCACAGCTGAGATAGTATGGTTGCGATGGTTACTTGTTGATCTTGACATCTCTTTGTCTGCTCCTACCTCTGTGTATTGCGACAACACAAGTACAATTCAGATCGTTCATAATTCAGTATTTTATGAGCTTACAAAATATATTGAGATTGATTGCTAATTTGTATGATATCATCTTTAGCTGTGCACTATTTCTCTTCCCTTCCTTTCTTCGACTATGTAGTTGGGAATATTTCTTTACGAAGTCTCACACCATTATGCGTTTTCGTTTGCTTCTTAACAAACTCTTGATATTTTCTACTAGGGATATTTTAGATATCATGAGTTTGAGAGAGGGTGTTAGAGTAGTTTAGTGTTACGGGTATTTTACATATTTTCTATTATTTTGTTGCCCCTACTATAAAGGGTCTTTATTCTAGTCTTTTAGTCTCACACCGTCGATGTTCTCCAAAAAAAAAAAAAAATTCTACTCTTTTAGAGGGTATTCTTAATGTTTACAGGGAGCAGACTATTAGCTTCAATAATATTCACTCTTTCTTTTCACTTGTATAATCAAAATTATCACATCCGTCTTGATCCAAAACCTAAAAAGTCTAGGGGCTGTTAGATTTAGGTGACCATGTTAACTATTACTAATATATAAAAAGATTGCAGTAAGAAGCAAGAGATATATTAACTCGAAGTAAAAAGGAAAAACATAATTATTAAGACAGACAAACAGAAGAGAAGAAATTTGCATGCCCTGATTTTCATGACTTCTGATGAAGAAAATTGAAGGATATTAAAAGGCTAGTCTATTTTGATGGTGGTTTTTCAATCAAGATATAAAGGGCTGGCAAAGTTGGAGTGTATGCTTTAAAAGATTGAGGTTGTTGGGCGTAGTGTTATCTTTAATCATGCTTATTGAAAAATAGTTTGAGTATCAGTTTATGATGGTACTACAAGACAACACAAAAATCATTCTTTGACCAATCAATTTAAGAGCTTGTATGTGCTAAATATATGTAACATGTTTAAAGATTATACATGGCCTTGCTCTTACATTAGGACTGAGTGACCTGAACAAATATTCTTGAATTGAATCTTGTTGATTCCATTTTTTTTGCAAATTCAACCTAACCAGTTCAAAACAAGGTTGCTGGTTTAAATAGCCAAACCAATTCAACAGAAGGTCGCCAGTTTGTTTTTTGTTTGGATTATCCAGTTTGTGGAGCCTTAGAGCATTTGTGGTAGGTGGAATAGCCACTGGGGAGGTGAGAACTGCCCATGTTAGTCTGAGGAAGGGTATTGTGAAGGGGGGTAGCATTTTTTCCCCTTTTTGGCAGGGTGCTGTGAGTTCTGGAAATCCAATGCTTTTACTGTAGGAAACAGTCGAGAGGTATGTTTTTTTATTGATAATTGGTTGTAGACTTTTTTATTGAGGGTTTCTTAGTGAGAACTGTTTAGAACACTAGATGATGAGAGGCTCCAGTATCAAATTTTGCGATATGCTCGGTTTGGAGTATGAAGTGATTCCAAATTTAGGAACTATTTTTGAGTTAGAAGTTAAAACTTGTGGAGTTCTTTTCTTTTTTGAAGTTTTGGAGTCACGGAAGATTAGTTGAGGTGGAAGCTGACCAAGAACCATTAGCCCAAGTTCTGGAATGAAAAAGAGATTTTTTATCCCATAGAGGTGCATCTAGTGAAAGAGGAGCCTTATTTAAGAATGCCTCGTTTACATGGATGGCTAATAAGGACAATCTCTACATAGATGACATCAGGAAAGAGTTAGGTTTTGGTTAATTAAAATTTGTGTAAAGAGACAGGGAAGCTGGAAACATTGCCTCCTCATGACTGTTTAGGTTTTGCTTGGGAGATCCGGAGATGTGAAGATCAGTGTATGAACTAAGGGACATTGGGCACAACAGAGCTGATGTGGTGCATTTGGAGGGATAGAGTAGGCATTTCTATGAGGTGGAGAAATCCCAAGTTCAAATTGTACCAACTGATGCAGAGCACCATATACTTTTTGGCTTTGGGAGCTTTGCAATCTTTCCCTTCTTTTATAGATTATTTTATGGGTTTTCTATTACTACACGTAAATATATAGGTTTTCATCCCCTTTCTCTTCTCTCTTTCTCTTTCCTTTCAACTAGTAGATTTTTCCTGTGAAGTACTACTCTTTATTACTGTAAGCATCATACTTCAAGTTTTAATATGTTGATTTTGAAAAATGCAGCTAACTGTAATGTCTACACAAGAGTCTCATTTTTAATGCTTATAAATGTTCAAATTCTTTTAGAAACCTAGGGTATTTGTTGCATGTTGCTCGTGATGTTTAAAACAAGCCATTTTTACTCCTGCCTGTATTATGACTTGCGGAATTTTATATTTTACTGTTGCTTCAGTGATGAACTACTACTGCAAGAGGATGGTTCGGATGTGAGCTGCATGGCAAACGAGTTTAGCAATGGGATGCTTCTTGGGCAGAATTTGGTTCCCTCAGAACCATTTGTTGGGGCGAGAAGATTCAACTGCATCTCGAACACAAGTTCAAATATATTGGTGCAAAGGTAAGTTGTATGATATTTAGCTTGTTTATTCATTGTTTGGCTATTGCACGACATGTGGCATATGATTCCACAAATGCAAAATTGGCTTACAATTTATTTCATGTGGGAACTGTTTTCTTGGTTACCTATAATTTGGTGGATTTGCCCTAAAGAAAAGAAAAAAAAAATGGAACCAAATGTTTTTCTGGCAGTATGAAAATGCTTAAAACTGTCATTTATTATTTCATAATGGAAAGAGAAATTTTAGTTAACTGGAGAGTTCTGCTTTGAAAATAGAGATTTTCATAATGGATCTGGTGCAGTTAGGAAAAACATAATGTTGTTTCACGGTTGAGTTTTTTTTTTTTTTTTTTTTTTTGGGGGGGGGGGGGGGGGGGGGGG